TTATAGAATATGGCTACTTTTTTCTTCTCTGACAATACTCAAAATTGTGAGAGACAGCACAAGAAATTGTGTATAATTTCTTAGTTTGTAAAGGTTCAGGATTATCAGCTTCCATAACAATACTGATTTTGTTAGACCTATTTCCTGGCTTTAAAGGAAGAAGTCAGAGGTGAGGAATTTGGCTATAGATGACAAATGGGATGGGAAAAGAGTGGAGGAGAGGGTGACAAAGTTTATTTCCCTGTCTTGCAAAGCTCGGTATGACACTTTGCTACGTCTGCTTGATTTTGTGAAAAACACCTCTGTAATGAAACTGTTTAGGCAGTTGTACACGGGGGAAATTCCCACTAGAAACAGAAAGAAACAAGGTATTTACAAACCATGTTGCAGGACGGTGTTGGCAAGTTGAAGAGCAGTAGGCCCACATGACACTGGTGGACCTCCTATAAGTGTGTAATTGAGTTAGTCACAAGAGTGTGTGTTTCTCTGCGTGGCCGGCAGCCACTGTTACAGGATCCTGGGTTACCTGGCACTCATCCTTCAGTATGCAAAACATTACTGTAAAAAGCTGAAGTCTTCAGCCTGTGCGTCAGAAGAGCTGGTAAGTGGATGTTTGCATGTACAAATCCAGGTTTTTATCTGCTTTCCCTCTGTGAATCTGTTATCGATGTCCTTTTAGTCCAGCGACAGAATAAATTTGTAATAAAGCTACAAAGAGAAACGTTAAGGCACATAGCCTTTCTTTTTTTGCGATCTCAAGCTTGATCTTGGGGAAAACCCCAATGTTAGTTTTTATTAAATTAATCTTTATAGAACTGGAGGTAACTGAAATTTATATAGTGCATAACATGGGGGAGGGGGGGAAAGACAAAAAAAAAAAAAGCCCAAAGACATTTCCTTAGCAAATGGAAAAAAAGAAAGCACCTTTGAAAACAGCTGGATGGACTTTTATTCTGACTGACTTCTTATTGTAAAAATGCAGCTCATATAAACCTCCACTGGATGAATGCAATAGTTTCTTAAACCATTTTTGGGGGAGGATTGTCTATAATGGTTAATATTCTTATATTAAAGAAAAGTGAAGAATCTGTAAGTGAATGGTAAGATTTATTTATTTTATTTTACTGTGTAAAGTTCGTAAGTGATCTGTGTATACTAACACAAGATTGGGTTTCAAATTAAACGAAGTATAGAGTTTTTGTATGGCTACTGATACTTGAAAAAGTCAGTTAGGGAAATCCAAAACTCTTGTATTTATCACCAATATTGTTGGTAATATGAAGTGCCAACCTTTTAAAGATAGTAATACTACTAATAATAACCTGATTGCTGGAAATTTGCCAGCTCTTCGTCATCCTGCAGAAACTTACTATACTTGAACTAAGAAAACATGCAATTGTCCCTCCCCCTCCTTATTCCCACAGACTGGAACAGTATTATGTTAGCATGAGTTGTGCTGAGCCGAATCCAATCTGGAATTAAGAATGCTCCAGGGCATTTTTAATAAACTGTCATTCATTTGAACTCTAACCTTCTTTAATTTGCAGAATCTGGTAACGCAGATGTATGCTTCAGCCGCGTTCATTTCTTTTTCTTTCCTTATCTTGGTGTGAAAGACTGCTGGTAGGACTTGAAAATGCGAAGCTGCAGAAGAAATAGAAAGTGTTCACTTAAAATAGACCCAAAACTGAGAAAGAATTCTAGTACTTTAGTTTGCTGGTTCTCTGCCATTCTGAAATGTAAAATTCTAGTACTGATTTTAATGAAATCCTGGAAGTGCTGGGGTCAGGCTTTCTGAAAGTATGCAAAAATAATGGCTTTTATTAGAAAATGCAAAGGATAAAACGAGGCTGTTGTCTTACAAAGGGGAAGCAAACCCAGTTAAAATGTATTCAGGGCATAGAGTACTTAATAGCAAAGAGCTTTGTATTCAGTGAGGTTCTTACAGTAAATTCTTTCAAAACTTGAGTTCTTATTAATCCTTCAGCTGGTATCTAGAATGGCAGTTTGTGATTGGAAGTAGTTAGATTAAGAGATATAGCGGGGGAGAAATGAGCAGGCTTTGAGGCACTGTCTTGCCAGACTGGGTCAGGAGCTGCCCTCAGCAGCCTCGAGAGGGTTTTGAGATGCTCCCTGCAGCCCTCCCTCCGCAGGGGTGTCGCTGGGAGGCAGGGATGCACCCACACTGGCTCGGGAGGGCACCACTGGCACCGCGGCCGTGCCTGCCCCAGCTTCAGCAGGCGAGGGCACGTGAAACGCTGCTTGGGTTTTAGGAAATGCCACTGATCAACAGCAGTTACTCGGAGAGACTTTTCTGTATTTCTGTATAAAGGTCTTAAGGATGCATATGTCATATCTGAGGTCGGATAGGTGCTTCAGTCTGGGAGGAAAAAGGCTGGATATTACAGGTAACAAATTTGGACATAATACAAACTTTGTATTGATCCTTTGTACTGTGATAGGAAAAATATGTAAATGTGTGACTTGGTCATTACTGCGCTGATACTTCAATAGGGAACTTAGTTCAATATCTGGAGAGTGGGAAAACTATAAAGACACTGGAAGGCAGGACCATACCATTGCTTTGGAGAGGAAGGGACTCCTGGACCCACATTATTATCTGTGAAGTGCCCCTAAGTGCAGAAAATGTGCTATTTGCCATAGTCAGAAAGCTAAAATTTTTCACTAGTAGTACTGGATTTCGTTCCATTTCTTGCAGAAGGACTAAGATGTAGTAAATCAGCATTAACCCGTAATTTTTTTCTGTTAGCATTTTAATTCTAGTATCAAAGAAGAGAACCTATGCTTACATAAAGAATTTGGTTTCTGTTTTACAATTGTCTTTCTCCCCTAGACTTTTATGTCTAGATAATACTGCCATCGGTGTTTAAAGTTAGTTTTCCATTGTAATATTTCTGCTACAGCTACATAATAAACATGCTAGGATGACTGTGCGTGCAGCTTCAATATTCCCACATTTACCTTTTATAGTAGTTAATTAAAAAAATTACCAGTTTCTTTGACACATGCCTGCCAGTTTAATTCTGCTGTAGGTGATGGTGAGACAGTTAACTAGGAAAACATACAACTCTGAACTTGGGTCTTATTCAAAAAGTGAAGGAAGAACTAGCTGGCAAATGCTGTGTTGAAAGTGTAAATGAAACTATAACTTTCAACTCTACACGTGTTAACGATCTGTGGTTTGAAAATGTTTTCATATTTGAAAGAGAGGGGGAAAAAAATTAAAATTTAAACTTTGATCTCTGTTGTCTGGTATATAAGAGTATGTTCTTAATATAGATTAACAAATCCACAGCTTTGTTTTCCTCAAGTCTTTAATTGCCTTAGATGTTTGAAAATGTAACTGTTGTGATGTATCAGAACTTAGGTGAGCATTCAGTCAGTAAGTTGGGTACTCAGCCTGGCTGAATCTGTGGGAAAGGAGTACAATGATACTTCAGACATGGAAGTGCTACTCTTCTGCCTTTTTATGTTCTCGTCTGCCAAACAAATCTGCAGGTGTGGAGTGACTGAGTGTTTAAAGATACCGTCTCAAAGCAGGTGTCTGTGTCAAAGAATGACTTTGCAGTCTTGAACCTTTACTACTGTTACCATTAATGTATGTTGCCTAACTAACTGGCTGCAGGGTCAGCAGAAACTATATGCAGTTTTTTAAAAACACAAGGACAAACCTAAGAAATAACCCAAGAAAACAGGTAGAAATATCATATTATGTTTTAGTAGTTGAGGTTTGTTCTTGTCGGAGACAGCGTGGGTTTGTGTTCTTGTACTAAAACAGAAAATATGGTATCTGGTGTTATATTAGAAATTGAGTATGCTTTTAAAGAAATATGATCTCTCTCCTGCTGGGTGGTTGGGTTGGTTTTGGGTGTTTTTTTTTTTTCCCTGGGATTTAAGTGCAAATCCAGCTTTTTTATTTTTTTATTTCCCTCAAGTATATTTTCTCTTGGTTGTTTCTACTGTGAAATTCACTAGATAGTCACTTTACAAAGAGATCTGAATCCTTCATCTTCCTTCCTTTGCTTTAGTGGAGTCTCGCACCTGCACAGACTCTACTGCACAATTTTCACTCCTTGCTATTTCACTTATAGCAGTATTACACTGGTTTTACTTTCTGAGCGGAAGGTTGAACATCAGTAGTTTCAATGCTGTTGCTAATTCCATTTCTTCATTCATGAAATACCACTGCTTATGCACTGAAGGCTATCACGTGTTACAGTATTCCATTGGTCTTACTGGAGTGTTTATAAAGATGCAGAGGTGGCTGGTGTAGAAGGGGTAGGTAATCAGTGTATCCTTTTCAAACAGGGTGTAAGTCCTCATTATAATTTGATAAAGACTGTATTATTAAATTTGCTTTATTGAACTTTCTGATCGGGTTAGAAGGGACCACCAGAGTCAATGCAGTCTAAAGCCCTGCTCAAAGTAGGGATAACTTCCAATTTGGATCACATTCTGCAGGCCTCTTTCAGTCAAGATCTGAAAAAAACAATCAGACAGCTTCCCTGAGCAATGTGTTCTGCCCAGAAGGGTGTGCATGTTTTGATGAATAATACATGGATTGTCAGGACACGTATTATTAAAATATATATATCTGCATCTAAAATTTCTGAAATTACTATTATGATGGGTTCCCACCATCTTGAATTTAAATAATATGAATGGTGCAGAAAATACTTATAAATTGCATCTGTACGTGGCAATGGCCCAGGTTGAATAGGTTTCTGGCAATCTGTGTTAGTTCTGTTTTGTATAAATGTTACTTATAACTCTATGGATTCATGGAAATGTTAATATTTTTTTGGCATTTAAAGACTACTTCTGTTAGTTTTTAAAACAGTTAAGATAGGAATGGATTTAAGCAGCTATTTACTTAAAATAATTCCTTTTGTTGTTTGGTGTCCCCCCCCCTCATTTATATAGATTTAAGATTTACTTATTCTAAAGAATATGGAGCTTAAAAAGTTCCCTTTTCTTAGGTAGAAGAGCTGATGAACGCACTGGAAAAGACTAGACAAGAATTAGATTCTACCAAAGCCCGTCTTGCCTCAACACAGCAGTCACTGGCTGAAAAAGAAGCACATCTTGCTAACCTGAGAATAGAGCGAAGAAAACAGCTTGAAGAAATTCTGGAAATGAAGTAAGTGCATTGATTTCTGTAATTTCTAGAAAAATTAAAATCCCTACTTTCTTGCCATAAGAGGATTTTTTTTTCTGGGTTTTAATTCTTTTCTCTCTATATATATTTAAGTCTGAATCTAAACATTTCTAATAGTAAGACTACTAAATTCCTTTTAAAATAAGGAAATGCAAAAGTCCGTTTCAGAAGTACTCAACAATTGACATGTGAAGAATTTTTTGAAAGCTGCCCTTAGTTACAGGCAAATAAAATATCAGCACAGTAAAACTTCCATGAGAAATGGTGTTTCTAAAGCCCTGTCTTCCAGTGGCAATTCTGTGTTGGAGTTTCTCTTACTATCAAATTCAAGGAAAGGGGTTTATTAACTTTATAGGGATGGTGCAAAGTTTATTGCATTGCATTGGTTAAAAAAACCCCCAAACCTAAACCAATAAAAACCTATCTGCCTACAATTATCACTATGTGTACAGAATGAAAAAGGAAGATAGGCATGTAATTTCAGTCTTACTTTTGACCCACAATATAGGTAAATATCTGTAATTATGGGATGTTAAAGCTCTGACACGATCTTTAAAGTTGGCAAAAAAGTGTGAACCTGTTATGACTTGGCTAGGCTGGTAAGTGTGTAGTTAACATTCAACAAAGAAAATTCACAGTTGTAATTTTGAAACTGTTTTAGTGAGGGAGGGGGAAAAAAGCACCAAACACTTAAGCCATGTGTAACTTCAGCAAAGTTGTAGATATCCTCACATGTTAAAGGAAGGTAAATAATCAGAAAAAATGGTTTTAAAAAGTTGTTGTAAATAAGACACAGTGGAAATGGACACATATGCTTAGTAGAGTTTTATAAAAGTAGGTTTTAAGAGTGGTTGCCATGTAATATAGGTGCAGAAATACTGTGATGTAAGCATGAAAGTTCCCGGTGAAATCAAAAGAACTTCTGCCTGTGACTATAATGAGGTCTATATCTACACAGAAAAATGGAAGCACATATGAATTAGAGTAGCAGGTGATGTTATAGTCTATAATACATACATTTTTTTTTTTTTGGTTTTCTGATTTTCTTTTTTCTGTACGTATTAATTCACCTATGGTAACACAGATGCTTAGTGGCAGTATATTTCATGCAGTTATCTGTTTTCTGCATAGTTCTTTGTTGTGTTTCTTTGAATGCATGCTTGTTCTTCATCCTAATGATAAGGGTTTTTTTGTTTTTTGTTTTTGTTTTTTTTAATCACATTTATCAATACTTAGCAATATAGGCAGTATCTTTAATTATGTGTGTTTGACTATTTTGGCTAGGTACACAGTACCTATAGAAGAGCGTTGTAAGGCATGTATCTTTAGTCTGGGAAGTGAGGTTGGCAAAATCTGGTGAAGTTTGACTTTTCTTTTGATAAAAGCTTTTCTGTTTTATTAATAAGGGGCTGAGTGGATAGTATTAGTTGTGAAAGACCCAGTATCCAAGGTCCAGTTTAAGAATAGGAATTCAAAACGGGATATAAACGTGTGTTTTTAGTGTGTAAATTAAAAGTAAAAGAGTAAAATAAAAAGATTTTACATTAGAATCTAATTAAGTTAGTGAAAATTTCTTTTAAAATTTGTGTTGGCATGGGTTGTGGTTTTTTTTTTATCTTTGCTTTATTGCTACTTTGTTAGCTGTATAATTTTCTGCCATTACCTTTTTTTCTGTCTTCAAAAGAAGCAATTGTTCATATAGGTTTCATTTTTAATCCTGAACTGACCTAAAATTTGTTTGAAATTTTGAGTTAATAACAAAACCCTTCTAACCTGTAATAATAAAATACAATTAACTATAATGCATACTACTTCTTACTTAGGCCACAGAGGGTATGTAACCCTCCACTGGCTTTACCAGCTATCTTGCCCTGTGTCATTACCTGTAAGAGTCTAATGCTCTATTACTGGTTTTAATTCTATCCGAACTTTAGTTTCTGTGAAATATGTTACAAGGCTGAGTTCATACTGGATGTGGAATCAGATAGAACTTCTATTGCTTGTGGTGAGATGGAAAGAAATTAATATGGCTATCAGATGTGGTTTTGCTGGTCTGGGAGTTAGGAACGAGCATTAATGAACAAAACAAAACATGTAAAATCACAGTATACTATGGACCAAACATAGAACTCATGTGGAGTAATGACAGAAATTCACCGGATAGTATTTACTTTTTTCTTTTTACTACCTCGTTAACAACATTAGTACAGAATCAAAGATGCAAAAATGAACATACTTTTTTTTTTCCCACTCTGCTATAGGAAAGTATAGGAAGTGCTACATGACTGCTGTTAAATATAAGTTAAATATAAATCTTAATTTAATATTATTTGATTTAATAATAAATACTAAACAACATAAATTAATAGATACAAATGTATTAGTAAATGTCTTTTAGACATAATTCAGATATTCCATTATATTACTTTAATTTTTGAAATTGCTCACTGAAAAAAGTGTATAACAAACAATCTTTATAAAACTGCTGCATTACAGCAGAATACGCTAAATATAGCATTACATTTTTTTAATGAATAAGTATTCTCAAAAACAGATTGTAGAAGCTAGCTAAGACCCTGACATCCACTGACAGAATAATGATAATTCGGTGTTGTAGTAATATACTAAAATTGTGTGTCTTCTGTCTGATACTTTAAGATAATTTGTTAATTGGCAGCATTGACCATAACTTCTATTTATCAGTTTATAAATTTAATATTGAGTGATTACAGTTTTTGGCTGCTAGCTTCCCGTTGCGAACTGTGTGTTTAAGAACATTCATGATGATTTCCTATGCTTATGTTATGTTCAAGTTCCAAACATAACTCTTCATTCTAGGCCCATCTGGCTGACACTGTCAAGATCCTTCTTAATTTACTGGCTACAATCAGTTGTGCGTTTTATATAAATTCTTCAGTTTTCATTACATGTTTCCCTATACATTCAATTATCTAAGGAAGTTTAGAATAAAAATGGATAGCAACTTAATCTTGTTCATGATCTTGTTGGTCTGTTTGAACTGGAAACTAGGTAATTAAATGAAAGGTAGTTTGGTGGAAGGAGGTAAACGTCACGTTATTCTTAACTTGATGCCAACATGTAAAAAAAAAAAACCCAAAACCAACTATTCTAAAGAATTCCGAAGTGTAAAGTTTGGAGAAGCATTTTCATTTGCATGTTATTTTCTAAATAGGTGATTTTTTTTTTTTTTTCCCAAATGTCTATTAAAAATATTACTATATTAGTTCTGGAGGGAATATTTTTGTTATGGTCATATTATTTTAGCAGTCCCCACATAACTCATACTGACATTAATGGAAGTTACGCATACATATTAACAGTAAAATGCAGCATGTGTTCAAATCCATCATTTTGCCTAATTGTCTTAATACTTTGTGCTCTTTCTATCTCTGAGTATAAAAAAAATCAATGTACTTTTTATTTTTTAAAAAGTGATAGTTAAAAAAAGAATTCTATATCGCATAGTGTGACAAAAGGCATGTTAATCTTTTTAAAAATGTATTTGTCATCCGTAGAAATGTTTTAATTGGCTCAAAGTTAAAAATTGGTAGTTAGAAATATATATCAATATTACTTTTTCCAGATGTTGTTTTTGTTTTCTGGGAGTTCACAAGAAGGAGCACAGCCTACTGAGAACTTCACAAGGCTTGCCTAGAAAAGCTTACTCATTTTGTAATTTGAAGAGCTTGAGGGTAGGAGAAGTTTCTGCACTGTGATGTGGTGGAGGCTTTTTCAGATGATTCAGAAATGCCAGGTTTATGGAGCATACTTTCATGACCACAAGGCATCTACAAGGCATCCTTCTTTAATACAGATGTCCTTTTCTATATGGTGCTTCCTTCCAAAACTCATAAACGTATGTGTAACAAAATCAGATAGCTCTATAGATAGATAAATGAGTATTTATGTAATATTAAAATTGGGCTTACTTCATAAAAGTGAAGTAAATGCTTGTCCTTATGGAAAGTGGATTTTATTCTATGGGATAAATCATCTTTTTAGAAACAGTCAAAATTATTTTCGCTTGCAAGATATAAAGTTTGTTCTGGAGAGCCAATAGTCATAAAATAATATCTAATGGTATGAGAAGGAACAAGTATAAAAATTGTATCACCTTTTTTGATAGTTTAACTTTTAAATTGCATGCATGTAATCTTCAAGTTAAAACCACTGAAGTTAAAAACAAAACAAGACACCCCCCCACAAGCAAAGACCCCCAAAATTTTGTCGTAAAAACTTAGGGGGTTAAAAGCCCTTAAATTAACTTTCTCTGGTGTTTACTCTAATTAGAAATACGTTTAAATGAAAGATTTTTTTTAAATTTCATTGTTGCTTTGAATTAATTTGATGATCTTTCAGTGACTTAGTTACACGTGACAAACACTGTGCTTAGTGGTGAGTGACAGTGGGATTAATCCCCCAGAAGACTGAACTTCATGTTTTGACTTGAAGTTCTGTGAAATTTTGATTTTTGAGATCCAACTGTTAATTATTGAGTGTTTCCTTTAGCAGTCTACTCAGTACACTCAGTGCTCTGAAGCTTTCAGGGTATCCTGAATAAAATTCTTGCCAGGAGTTTGAAAGGTAATTTCTCGCTTTAGATAGAGTTCATGCCATCACCTGCGGGTATTGCTAAACCAGTTTTGTTGGAAGTGGCTTTGCCCTGAAGTTTGCTACAGTACTTCGTTACTACTTCAGTAATGAAGCATTGAAGGTCTCCTAATAAAATAACCAGCTACTAGTCCTTTCATTCAGTAAAAAAATAGAACAGTGCTGTGCTGTCCCCAGAAATTATTTTTAAATTAGATTTTGCAGTGAATTTTCTTCCAGTGACGGTATAAAATTAAACATCCCTTCCTTTGTTTAAGAATGTCCACCATTTTTTCCACTGAAAATAATGAATGAATATTGCTTATCTCTGTTTTTCAGCATGTTTACTTTATTCATTTAACAGCACCTGT